TTTCACACCAAACCACTTATGAGGATTCCCCCAAGGGGAAATGAGGGCCTGTTAAAAATAGTATTGAAATGGAGTTATTACTTCAGTGTAGCCTGGTGGACGAGTGAAGCCACATTTTCCAGAGCAGTATTCAGTCTTACAGCAGGTTACTAACACCACAAAGGAGTTTCCTCATAAAACAAGGTGAAATTTCCTGGGGGTCGGAGATTCGGTCTGTACTTTTAGACCATTTGTGTGTTCACAGCCTTCAAAACCCTGAAATTAGTGTAGATTTCTGTGTGTTTGAGTCAGTCCTCTGTTGTCTGTGTCTGTCTGAACGGTGACATGTTGTTCTATATCGTCGTAAAACTGTAATCTGTTCAATCTCCTTGCATGCCAAAAAGAAAATGCCTCTGCACTCATATGTAAAATAGTGATTTTAATAAACTGTAGAAAATAAAGTATATAATTATTATGCCTAATAATGTGTTGAGTGTGAATCTGTTGCCTCATGGCCTACATTGTGTTCCAGGGCTGCACCATTAGAGCTGCCTCAGTAGTGCTATAAAACCTGAGGAAACTCAAGTTTCTGCTAGAGCGATGCTCCCATCAGCCAGCACTATGAAACCGCACTCTCTCAGACTCCTGTTGTCATGGAAACAGGCTCTCATCCACATCCAGGCAGGACAGAACTGAGCTGCTCCTTTAGTGCAGGCTGCAAAGGAAACAGTACGACTGATGCCACCTTGTGGTTGTGAGATTTAACTTTTATTAGAAACACCCCCACCTACTTTCACCCACTGGCCACTTTATCAGAAACACTCCCCACCTACTTACACTCACTGGCCACTTTATTAGAAACACCCCCACCTACTTCGTCACTGGCCACTTTATTAGAAACACCCCACCTACTTTCACTCACTGGCCACTTTATTAGAAACACCCACCACCTACCTTCACTCACTGGCCACTTTATTAGAAACACCAGCCACCTACTTCTGCTCACTGGCCGTTTTATTAGAAACACCCCCCACCTACATCCGCTCACTGGCCACTTTATCAGAAACACCCCCACCTACTTCTGCTCACTGGCCGTTTTATTAGAAACACCCCCATCTACTTCTGCTCACTGGCCGTTTTATTAGAAACACTCCACCTACTTCCACTTTATTAGAAACTCCTAATGAGACACTGACATGTTTGTGTGGGGGTGAATAAAACACAATACAAATAAAACTTTACATCATTTTTGAATCTGGGGGGCAAAAAAATGGTTTGACTTCACAAAAGAGTCATTTCATGTAAAGAGATTAATTCCACAACATTCGATGTTGCGTATAAAAGACAGGAAAAAAGCTAACAAGTGTCTTTCAGGCTTAAACAAAGTAATTCAACGCTCATCAAACCTTCACACATTTTTCCACAAACAAAAATGAGGTTTTTGTTTAGTAATTCTTTCAGGAATACAGATGTTTTACGTGTCAGTACAGAAAGTCTTAAACATCTTGGCTAAATGTGTTTCTGCATCGACACAATGTGTATATTAATTCATGATAAAACCATCAATTAAAAAGAAAAAAACATTATAATTTATCTGTGTGAGTTTTGTTTTCCACTCAGTCACTAAATTTAGCCATAAAAAAAAACAGTGTAGAATCACACGAATTCTGATTAGCATCACTTTTAAGGGAGCCTAATTATTTAATTAATTAATTAATTAAACTTTAACCGGGAGAGCGAAAAAAATCAACTCACAGCCTGATAAACAAAAACAAACAAAAGCTGTGTTCTGATTGGACCACGCTACAGCAGCGTCCGGTGTTTCCATAACAACCCGCGCTCACCCTGGAGACCCAGAATGCACCGAAACGCGCTGCGCTGGACCAATCTGATTGGACGGCGCTCTTCACCGGATTTTTGAAAATTATTTTAAATTGAAAATGAGCGCGCGACTAAATTATTACTTTTTGACTTATTTACCTTCTAAAATCACTGATTTGGTCGCTGGTTGTAAAAATGGTGCATTTAAAAATATGGACCGTATATTTCTGGACCAAACCATGCTGCCTGTAAAAAGGGGGGGGTTGTGTTTACATTTCAGACGATTAAACTTTAAAGTTCATTCTGCATAATTTTCCAGAAATCGGCTCAGTTTGGTGTCTGATATTGTTAGTAATGTTTGTAAGTGTTTGCGTGGCTCCGATACGGTTTGTACAAAACTTCGTATTTTATTTTTTCGCCCCTTTTTCTTCGCTTTACACTCTTCCACTTTTGCCAACTGATCAGCAGTGCGAGTCGAACAAACTTGATGAAGGGGACCCTCGTTTGGCGCCGCCTGGCGGCCGAGCGGAGTTACAGCACTATTTTAGTCGTATTAATGATTTCAAATGTGTGACTTCAGCAGTGAAACTGGGTAATTATCATCTTTACATGGATGTAAATGTGTATTCAGGCAGTATGAAGTCCAAACAGCAACTGAAAATGCACAGTATGTCCAAAAGTAGCTGGACAATCATTCTACTGAGTGAATTCAGCTTGTAGTATCTCCAAAGGCCGCACATGAGCCTAAGGTCTCCATGCCCAAAGCCAAGCTTGGGCTAGAGGGGTATAAAGCCCCCCAGCACTGGGCTGTGGAGCAGTGGAACTGTGTTCTCTGGAGTGATGGAGCTCCATCCAGTACCTTTGGGATGAGTTGGAGTGATCCAGAACTGACCATCCAACATCAGTACCTGACCTCACTAATGCTCAATCAAATCCTCACAGCAATGTTCAACATCTAGTGTAAAGCCTTCCCAGAAGAGTAGAGGCTGTTACTGCAGCACAGACTCACTATTAACACCTTCATTTCAGGAGAAACTCTGGAGTCTGCAGACTTTAATGTGTCTGCGTATCAGACGGGCCTTTATCTGACCTGCTGTCTGAGTGTAGCCCTTAATTAAAAAGATTGATTATTGGTTTTGGTGATTTATGTGAAGGTGTAGTCCCTCGCGAACATTAATTGGTTGTGGAAATTAGCAAAAACTACAGTTTTTATTAGAAGAAGTGAATGAAAGCAGAGTTTATTGGCCTGTGTGTTCCTGACTGAAGGCATGAGGGTGACATTTTCTGCTAAAGCCACTGTTTCTCACTCCTAATCAGACCTCATGTCGGGCTTAAGTTACCCAGCTGAGAAATCTTGCTTTGCTGTGAAATACTCCTTCTCAACAAGTGGGGTAACTTAAGCAATAGTCAGGATTGTCAAAAAATCATCGTTTTGGCCGCGTTAGCTGGATAACTAAGACATCCTGCACCAGCACATGTGATTTGACTGAGCTAACTGAAGGGGAATTCCACTGATTCTCCACAAATTTCTGCATGATTAAGTGGTTAAGATGTAAATTCAGAGTGGTTTGGTGTGAAACACTCTGTTCTAGAGACACTTACCGAGTCAGAACTGTTCACAGTGGAGGTGATAGGAACCAGACGTCCACCTCTAAAAGCTCCCTCACAGAAAGTTCCTACATGAAATGGTTATGAATTCACTGCCTGATGACTGAGACACTGTTTTATGATAGTTTAGAGAACTTAAACTCCATTCATGGTGGAGGGATACATGCAGGACGCTGTGAGGCAAAATAGTCCCCAAAGAAAACGTATTATTTCAGATTTTCCACTATTTTCCATCATCAACATTCCATATAAACTCAGAAGACTCGTGTAGGTTCACTGGTGGTTCTGGATAGTAAATAAAATGTCTATATTTGTGTTGTAGTCATGGTGACCCCTGGTTCCTATCAAAATGTCAAGAGATCTGAACCATTTCACACCAAACCGCTCTGAATCTCTCTGTTTATATCTCACACCCTGAATTACAGGGAAATTCTGAAAATGGTAATTCCCCTTTAATAAGCCTTTCCTGCTGAACTGGATGAGGTGGAGCATGAAAAATACTGCACCACCATCCAAAACCCCTGAAAGGTGAGCAAAGGTTTGGGTGGAGTGCCACGGCGTTCACGATGGGTTTGTGAGGAGCCGGAAAAACCGCATTCACCTCTGCTGAAGAAGCAAATTCAGTGTGAAAAGCGCGCTGCAGTGAACGAGGCGTACAGTGCCGTATCAACAGCGTTTCCACAGAACAGCAACAAATCTCACATCTTTAACTTGTAAAACGCGGTCATAATAAAAGCCCAGCATCATTTAAAAGTCTAATACGGGTCTCTTTGCTTTGTCATCGTTATCAGTCACATCATATCAGTTTTTGGCGGATTTAGTATAAAATTTAAAGGTGTTGAAATCAAACGCGTTCCTGCTCCCCGCGCTCTGATTGGCTGGCGTCTTGTGCCAGGATTGGATAGCAGTTTTACACCTTCTGTGCTCCGATTGGCTGTCCTGTTCCAGTGTCCTGCACTTCGATTGGCCAATTCGGCCAACGGCTTGTAGCGTGGAGAATGAGCCAATCCCAGCGCAGGGGACGGGGCTATTCGGAATACGGGTGCGAATATATTTTTTAAATTAAATTACATTTTTATATTTCAATTGCAGATAAATAATTATTAAAAAATTATAAAACTATATATAACTATAAAAACAGTAAAACAACGAATGACCAAAAAAGAAAAAAATAAAGAAAAAAATAATAAAAGTCTAACGGTAAAATTGATTTTTTTTTTTAAATGATGCAAAGATAGGCTGAAATGTGTATAATAGGAAATCAAAACACCATATATATATATATATATATATATATATATATATATAAATTAATATAATTTTATTATTATTATTATTATTAGACAGAAAGAATATTTATGTACGGACGTGCTTCGCTTCCTCTCGCTGGCTCATCACTTCGGCTAATCGGCGAGCGGAGCTGTGTTCCGTGCTTGCGCCCGATTGGCTGAAGCGCGCCTCTTGCGCCCGCCCTCCGGCCCAGCAGGCTCGGTTGCGTCCGGTTCAACCTGCGCCGACTTCACGCAGTCAGCGGAGTGAATGGAGCGGAGATCGGACCGTCCGGAGCGACTCGCGCGGATCAAAGAACAAGCGAACGCGCTGAACAGCGGCTCGGCGTCCGCCGGCGGCCCATGTGTTTCAGAGGAGGCGCTGGGAGGCAGAGGTTTCGCCCCGGAATAGGAGGCGAGCTGTGCGCTTACAGCGGCTCGGTCACAGCTGGCAGCCTTGATGACGGAGCAGGAGGAAGTGTGAGCAGTTCCCAGCCGAAAGCAGGCCGAAGGAGAGAAGCCCAGGTAGATGCGGAGCCCCCCAGCACCGGTGGACCTTTAGTGGACCCTCCTGCACGGAGCTGCGCGCCTCTGGAGTCGCTGAACCCCCTTTTTTTTTTAGAGTCTGATGTGGGCATGCTGAGCATGTGTGTGTGTTAGAAAGGCTCGGAGAGAGTGCTAGATAAAGTTACCCCCTAGAACCCCTTTAGTCCCCCTGTAAGTGAGCGTTTTGGGCTGTGTGAGTGAGTGGAAATGAGGCGAGTCACGGCACCGTGGGCCGCCCGGATGGTGGCGGCCGTGCTGGCGCTGCTAGCCGGCCAGGGTCGCTCTGAAGGCGGGGAGGCGAGCCTGGCTGACCGGGTGATCTGGGCGGTGAACGCTGGAGGCGAGGCGCACACGGACACGCACGGCATTCAGTACAGGAAAGACCCTCTGGAGGGGAAGGTGGGCAAAGGTGAGTGTGGTCAGAGAGGGGGGTGGCTGGCAGCCTGCTGTCCCCATGAGGACGGAGCTGAAGTCGGCTTCTGGTCCGAATTTTCCCGTTCCACCTTAAATGGGGGGGCAGGTACATGTGCTGCGGTATCACTTAAGGTGGAACGGGAAAATTCCAACAAGAAGCTGGTGAGTAGGAAGCCACCTTCAGCCTCGTCCCATGAGGAGTGTGCGTGCTTTAAAAAAGATGGTTCTAGGGTTCTGTTTAGAACCATGAGTTCTGTATAGAACCGTTGGTTCTTTGCATGGTGAAATGGTTCTTCAGATTGGTGTATGTGACTCTGTTGAATCTTTTTGAAAAATGGTTCTTTATAGCACCAAAAAGGGTTCTGCTGTTGGTACAAGCTTGTTGCAATGGAAGGTTCTGGAGTTAACCATATACAACAGTCTGAAGAACCGTTTCACCATGAAAAGAGCGATTTACGAATGAAAATCATTCTGTACAGAACTCTAAATAGAACCTGTTTTCATTACTGAAGAACCCTTGAAGAGCCGTCTGTTTCAAGAGTGCATAGAACCTTTTTGAAAATGGTTCTGTATAGCACCAAAAGGGTCCTGCTGTTGGTTTGGTGTCAAGCTTGTAACAACAGACGAACCCCTTCTTGTGCTTTTTCAAAAAGGTTCTATAAAGAACCATACACAACACATTTTCCGTCAATTTGAAGAACCATTTCACCATGCAGAGCACGTAATTGTTCTGTATAGACCTCATATTCCTAAATAGAACCGTCTTCATTTACTAAAGAACCCTTGAAGAAGCATCTTTAAGTGTCCAGTTAGCCAGCTAACTTAAACCCAAAGACGAGTCTGTCCAATAGGAGAAGAGCTGAGACGTTGACACTGTACAGTCCAGTTTAAGCCTAACCTGATATAATAATTATCTCTTAGCTCTTCTCCTATTGGACAAACATATCTGGCTAAAATAATCATTAAACCAGATCATTTAAGCCAAAAAGAGAGTCCACTACTAGAAAAGGTCCCTGATTTGTCCTCCTACTGGACAGGCTTGACGTTTACTTAGCTGGCTAACCTTCTTTCTGGAATACTCAGTTAGCTGGATAATTTAAGCCAGAACTGAACATTGTCCAAGATTATGTCTCTTAGCTCTACTCTGATTGCACAAGCTTGATGTTAGATGGCCAGCTGAGAAAACCTGCTTTGAGAAATTCTTAGTTAGCTGGATGACTTAGGTCAAAAGTGGTGATTGTCCACTATTAATGCCCTTTACCTCTTCTCCTGTTGGTCAGACTTAGTCAGGCTTAAGTTAGCTGGCTAACTGAGAAATTCTGCTGTATAAAATACTCAGTTAGCTGGATAACCTCGGCCAAAAGTGGAGATTCTCCAACATTTAATGCCCCTTACCCCTTCTCCTATTGGCCAGACTTGACCTTTGGCCTCAGTTAGCTGGCTAACAGAGAAAACCTGCTCTGAGAAACACTAAGTTAGCTGGATAACTTGGGCCGAAAGTGAAGATTGTCCAGTATTAATGCTCTTTATCTCTTCTCCTATTGGTCAGACTTGGTCAGGCTTAAGTTAGCTGGCCAACTGAGAAAGCCTGCTTTGTGAAATACTCGTTATGCTGGATAACTTGGGCCAAAAATAGAGACTGTCTGATGGTATGTCTCCAAGCTCTTTTCCTATTAGACCAGCCTGACTTTGGGCTTAAGTTAGCTGGATAATTGATGCTGTACAGTGAGAACTGACCCTGACCTTTCCTCCCGCTGGACAGGTTTGACTTTTAGTTTATCTTGCTAACCGACAAAACCTTGCACATTTTAGTGTTTTCACTATTTCACATCGGATCTGATTCAGTTCAGATAATTAATAAGTCCTTCCTGAGTTGAATGAGTTCGTTTGAGCAGGAAAGTACTAAGCTATGCACAGCAGTGGTGTTCTAGGAGCAGGATGTGGAACCACAGTGCTGTAAAGTCCTCTTCATTTGGTTAAACCCAACGGACATTTGGTGTCATGTAGCGAAGTGGGCAGATGGTGATGGCAGCGGTAGCGAAGCATAAAGCGTGGTGTATGTTTCATGCAGAACGTTATATTGGATTTTTACCACAATCTGAGGCCTCATGTTGTTTATTATTCATCATAAAACAGCCTTTGATTGTAAAGAGGCCTTCATACTGATCATAGCTGCAAAAGCTGGTTCAGTATTGGGCTGGTGTTATTGACCGACCAGTTTAAGACCAATCCAGGACCGAAATATGAGCGCTTGTGAAATTGACCAGCTGCAGAGGTCAGAGGTGAACCCGTTACTCACAGTGTGTGAAAGGTAAACTGTTTTCTGCACTTGCTGATAAATCGTGCGTGGCTTAAACTGTAAGTGCTGAGCACCTGCAGGTTGCAGCACTGATTCGGTCTAACGAGTGTGGAAAGTTTCACTCATATCAACTTCAAAACTATCAACATGCAGCATTTTTCCAGTGGGAATGTCGCTTAGCTCTTCTCCTATTGGACAGGCTTCACTTTGGGGCTCAACTTAGCTGCCCAGCTGAGAAAACTCGGCTTAAATTTTCTCAGAATTTTCTGAGGTATGGAAACAGAATATTCAGTCAAACTGTACTGCAGGTTTTAAGCGGTTGGGGATCCCACATCCTTGTGAAACTGTTGAAGTGCAGTGAGTTGTGTTTGCCATGAGTCGCTGGTAGACGGCAGTGTGGAGCAGATGTAAGTTGTCAGGAAGTAACTTCAGGTTTGGTGACTCTCACTTCCTATGAGCTGACGGTGTTCAGTGTGAGTGAAATGTGCTTTGTCACATGCAGAGTCTTTTAGTTGCCATTCATTAGTCCTGTAACTCGCATACGCCAGTCTTCGTCCCTTTATACTGAGCAGCACAGACGGTTTTGAGGGAATAATTAGCCAAAAAACCTCTGTTTTTCCATTTTATCAGCTCCACTGACCGTATAGTTTCACTCTGTAGCTCTACAATTACAGACTGTAGTCCATCTGTTTCTCTGCATACTCTGTTACCCTGTTCTTCAATGGTCAGGACCCCCATAGAGCAGGTATTATTTGGGTGGTGGGTCATTCTCAGCACTGCAGTGACACTGACGTGGTGGTGGTGTGTTGCGCTGGTGCGAGTGGATCTGACACAGCAGTGCTGCTGGAGTGTTTAAACACCTCAGTGTCGCTGCTGGACTGAGAACCAAAAAAATCCAGCCAACAGCGTCCTGTGGGCAGCGTCCTGTGCCTACTGATGAAGGACTAGAGGATGACCAACGCAAACTGTGCAGCAGCAGACGAGCTGTCGTCTCTGTCTTTACATCTACATCTGTGTGATGTAGACATGCAGTTAGCACCATGCTAATTTGGCTTGGAAATCATTGCTGCGTTATGGGCTCATTCCGCCATATTGGCAGGGTTCATTTTAAGAGATTCCTGTTTTATTGTGGTCAGTCAGGCCTGTCCTGCTTAATAGTGAATGAAATGGGAAGCCAAACTACAGAATATGAATACAATTAGCCTTATGGAAGGTTTGGATCTACACAAACTCCCAGAAAAAGAGTGGAATAAATGATCTGGATATGCAAACGCTACCTCCTCTTTCATTTATGGGCTTGTTTCCTAGCTGGTGAGTGGCTTTTGTGCCTGTTCTTTTAGGTAATTTAGAATTTGAGCCCTCAGAGCCCATGTACCGTTTACAAACGGACATTCGGCTCAGCCACTGGCAGATTTAACGCTGTTGACTTACTGATATATTTCACTCAGCCGGTGGCATATTTGACTGTTATTTCACTCAGGTATTGACACTTTCACATTAGAATTTTTGACTTAGTTACTGGCATATTTTCTCTGATATTAGAGTATATAACTCAGTTAATTGGCATATTTCACTTAGTTACTGACGTTTACTCAGTTATTAGCATATGTTCAGATATTGAAGTATATAACTCAGTTACTGGCAAATTTTCTCACATATTGGCATTTCACTTTAGTTACTGGTATGTTTTCTCATATTGTTATTTTACATATTTTCTTGTATTTTGGCATAATTCACTCAGTTACTGGCATTAGCAGATTTCTCACAGTTACTGGTATATTTTCTCGTATATTGGCATATTTCACTCAGGTACTGGAAAATTCCTCTCAGAAATTGGCATATTTCTCTCAGTTACTGGAAAATTCCTCTCAGAAATTGGCACATTTCTCTCAGTTACTGGAAAATTCCTCTCAGAAATTGGCATATTTCTCTCAGTTACTGGAAAATTCCTCTCAGAAATTGGCATATTTCTCAGTTACGGAAAATCCTCTCAGAAAATGCATATTTCTCTCAGTTACTGGAAATTCCTCTCAGAAAATGGCATATTTCTCTCAGAAATTGTCATATTTCTCATAGAAATTGGCATATTTCACTCAGTTACTGGACGATTCCTCTCAGAAATTGGCATATTTCACTCAGTTACTGGCATATTTCACTCAGTTACTGGAAAATTCCTCTCAGAAAATGGCATATTTCACTCAGTTACTGGCATATTTCTCTCAGAAAATGGCATATTCCTTTCAGAAATTGGCATATTTCTCTCAGAAATTGGCATATTCCTCTCAGAAATTGGCATATTTCACTCAGTTACTGGAAATTCCTCTCAGAAGTGGCGTATTTCACTCAGTTTCTGGCGTATTTCACTGTAGGTAGCCTTTTAGCAAACCTGCTAGCCTAACTAGTTGGTGGACTAATGACACTGTTTCTGTGCTGTTTAAGCAATAGAACCCGAGAGGGAGTGTGTTATTGCGAAATAACATCATTATAACATCATTATTCATGATAACACACTCCTCGAGTGTTCCATGCTTTTATACAACAGTATAGTTGTTGTATAGTGATCACTTCTTGCTGTTTTTTTCCCAACGTAGCCTCAGACTATGGCATGCGTCTGCCGATCCTGCGGTCCAGTCCCGAAGATCAGGTCCTGTACCAGACAGAGCGATATAACGAGGACACGTTTGGGTACGAGGTGCCGATCCGAGAGGAGGGAGACTACGTCTTGGTGATGAAGTTCGCCGAGGTTTACTTCGCCCAGTCCCAGCAGAAGGTGAGACCTTTAGCAGATACCTGCAGTCTCACTGGTGAAACCTACAGTGGAAACATTTATTTTAGTAAAAAAATAATGCATTTACTCAGACGTCTGGTGTAATGTGACAGACTTCCCCTCACACGCCTCTTACAACAAACCCAGACAGCGTGATGGAGAGGTACAGCCGCACTGAGGACGAGACGAGAGGGCTTTAAAAGGAACGCTGTCACTTTTCAGCTCTTACAGAGAGACGAGCAGAAAACACTGCAGCCTTTCTAAATGGAAAGAGCTCTACATGGCAGAGAAACACCAGCTCTCAAATTCAGACAGAAAATAATAATAATACCATATAAAAGAATACAAATGTCTTTACCTGTAGGTAAAGGGGACATCAGGGAACTCAAAGGCCCAATCCCGTTTCACCCCTCGGCCCTACCACTGAGCCCTTAGCCCTCTGTTTTGCGCATTTACGTCTAGGGTTAGGTGTTAGGTGTCTCAATTCTTGTTGAGATAGAGGAGGAGGGTGAAGTGTTGGGGCTACATGACCCTCCAAACAGAGGTTTTTCAGAGACTCCAAACAGAGAGTTATGAGAAAAAAGAAAAACCGGCAAGATGGAGAACAAGAGACCAAAGAAACACACAAATGTGAGAATTTTCTCTGTTAAAATATTACAATAACCACTGTATTCTTAGTTTAATGTCGTTTCAGTGTATTTTGGTCGTTTTCTTCATAACAAGCATAAAAAAAAGCATGCTATTAGCATGCTAATGTCTCTGTAGCTAGCTAGCTAACTTTCCCGTTCCACCTTAAATAGTACAGCACCAGCGCCTGAAGCCCCAGAATGTAACTGCTGCACTATTTAAGATGGAACGGGAAAATTCCAACAAGAAGCTGGTGAATATCTGACTTCAGCTTCATATCACTGAAGAATTAGTGGTGGGCGATAATAAATAATTGCCCCCCTCTTTGAAGGCATATGATGCCCTAAATGTAACTAAAGCCCAGCAGTGAGGAGCTGAACTTTACCCTCCTCTGCTGTCACTGCAGACTGGCAGGGTCGCCTACAGAGCAGCGCTGGTAGCTGTTAATGAAGTGATGCTCTTTTTATTTGAGGGTCCCATTTCAGAGGGAAGATTTCAAACACTACCCTGTAACTCAGTTCCAAGGGGCAACACTCGAAAACAAGAAATGAGATTGGGCCAAATTTTATGTCTGTCGCTACTTGTGTACCTTGGGCCTAGTCCCACTTCTTCTTTTTAACCCTACCCCTTGTTTGCGAGTGTCACCCTAACCCCTTGGAACTGAGTTATCATATGATCTTCAAAGAAGGGACAATTATTTATTATCACCCACCCCTAATTCTTCAGTGATAGGAAGCTGAAGTCAGATGTTCGCCAGCTTCTTGTCTGAATTTTCCCGTTCCACCTTAAATGGAGCAGCAGTTACATTCTGGCACCTCAGGCGTCAGAACTGCTGCTTCATTTAAGGTGCAACGGGAAAGTTAGTTAGCTACTGAGGCGTCAGCACTACTAGCGATTTTTATGCTTGTTATGAAGAAAAGGACCATAATACACTGAAGTGTCATTAAACTAAGAGCTAAACTAAAAACAACAGTTTTTTGCAGGGAACCTTTTTTAAGATTATTATTAAGTAGTCGACAGTCACATTAGGCAAGGCAGGTTTATTTGTATAGCACCTTTCAAACATAGCGGCAATTCAGAGGCTTCACACATACAGAAAAATAAAAGCATTAAATAATAAAGCGTACAGCAGCCTCAGATCTGTAACTGAAAGGTGTTTAGGAAAATAGTTACAAAAAGTTCAAGTGCATTGCAAAGATAAATAGCATTAAATAAGAGAATAAAGTTGAGGGATTGAAAGGAATAAAATATTGTGGTGCTAAAATAAAGTGCAGAGCTGAATGAAGGCATTTTAACGGTTAATTTAACATAAGTGTAAGGCTTATATTGACCAAAAGTGTTTCATAATTACGCTCTGAATTTTATATGATGAAAGAGCAGTGATTAAATATCTCGATTCAATGCGTTTAACATTGTACATAAGTGCTGTAAGACTTAAATGTACATCTGTTTGTCTCTGTAGGCATTTTTTTTTGTTTTTTTCTAACCTCTCTCTCCTCTCTTTCACTCTCACTCTTTCGCTCTATCTTTTTTTAAACTCTCTCTCTCTCTCTCTTTCAGGTGTTTGATGTGCGTTTGAACGGTCACATCGTGGTGAAGGATCTGGACATTTTTGACCGTGTTGGTCACAGCACAGCTCACGATGAGATCGTTCCATTCTCCATACGGAGGGGAAAGCTGAGCGTTCAGGGAGAAGTGTCCACTTTCAACGGCAAACTAACCATCGAGTTTATAAAGGTGAGACGCACTTTTCAAAAAATGAAATCTGACTGTGTCATAAATATGTTAGAATTTAAAAGCCCCACATTTCCTCTTCTGACCCCAATTGTTATAGAGACGTTATAGATGAGGTGGTTAACATATGAAAAGTTCAACGTGGCGTCCGTTTATGGACAAAGTCACGCCAAGAGCGGAGACAGGTGGATGATATCCTGGCGCGAGTGGGAAAGCTCACCTCGTGGTGGAGATTTGACCAGCGCAGTAGACAGAACAACCTGAGAAAACATGTTTTTTGTGGATTATTGAGCCAAATAATACAAAATAATACTCGACCTTCAGTTTTGAGTATTTTGGTTTCTCTCCAGTCAAAAAAAGAGGACTCTCTTGTGGTCTTGTGCGGCTGGAAATAACTGCCCAGTGGCGCTACAAAGATGACCGCCAAGTGGACAGACTCACCTTAGCATGTGGAGGTGTTCAGTGTCTCTTATAGTCTTGATTTTGTGGTTTACTGACACTGTATGACTCACTGTTATCTATAAACATGGACTAAAATGCGGTCAAATTCAAGATGGAGCTACTGTTCTTAGCTTTGATAACACACTTTAGGCTGTTTTTATAGATGTACACCTGCATGCAGAAGCTTGAAATCAGTGTTTTCGGCTTTTTTGCAGAGAAACAAATACAGAGACCCTAATCTGCTCATCCTGAACAGCTTCACAGCTAGAAGATTCTGAAAAGCTGCAGAACATCAATAATGATGTTCTAATAAAATGAGAAGATTAAATTTCACAGCAGATGAAATGTGAATAGATACTTACCGTGCGTTATTTATCATTCTAGTTCACAGAATTCTTAAAATATTCAATAAAACATTTAAGATACTGTTTAGTGAATAGTGTCTAATATTTAAATCCACGTTGTATTAATTGTTATTGTATGTAAATAACAAAGTGTTATAAAGGCAAGTGGTCCCAGACTTTAGAACGTAGTGCCCATTAGCCTTGTAGCTCCAGAGCTAAAAATAAAGAAGCAAACTTCAGACACCAAACGCTGATCATCTACATTTGGCGTAAGAGGGGAAAATGTTTAACGTTTGTGAGAAATTATTATCTAGCTACGTTTTAGGCAAAAAGAGTCACGACTGGTTACTCTTTAGTCTGAGCTTTTGCAGTGTCTCTGGTTGTCATACGTGCTGGAATGATATATGTGTAATAAAAGAGTCCACATAACACATCAGACTATATATCTAGGTCTATATTAATATGGCACATACCTTGTAGCCTCTTATATAATATTATGTTATTCTTGTATAAAATTTCAACACCGCAGTGTTACAATATAATGTTGTAGATGTTTCAGCCGTGAGATGAACTTGAGTAAGTTGAGTAATTACTGCCATTCTGCTGTTTAAATATAATTACACAATAAATTACATTTGCATTTTATTTCAATTCCGAATGGAGAGGTGAAAAAAATGATAAAACAGCAAAAATGTGAAGACTGTTTTCAAATAATAATTTATCAATTTCCATTTCTGGACATTTTTTAAATGCAATAAAAACAAGAATCTGATTTGTTCATTTTCTTGAACCTTTATTTATCTGATAAGTACAAAGAAATTAATATTTTGGCAGAGCAACTTGATTGTATTTTGAGTGAGCAAAGTAAGAGTGAAAAGTTTACAGAATATTCAGGTTACACTGTTTTTGAAACACTCCACAGTGAGCAGATGAGTTGGTAACAGATGAGGGCATCATGATTGAGTATAAAGGCTCAGTGTCTGTAAGCAAAGACGGGTCGAGGCTCAGCGCTTTGAGCCAAACTTTGTGAGGGGATATAGTCAAATATCTGCTTCCAACAAACACGAAAACACTCAATACGACTTTATCTGGACACGGTCATTAACTTTCTACAACAGTAAACGTCCCACTAAATCAGCTTCACTGGAGAAGCTGGTACACTGTCTGTGTTTACATGCAAAGATTTCTCTAATCTGATTGAACACATTCTGATTCTAGATTCAGACTGAGGTGTTTATTCTCACTCTACTCAACAATCTGATGAAAATCTCTGTCTACATGCTCACTACAAGTAATCAGATCCAAAATTGCGCATAGAGGACCACTCAGTATAGACATTACCATGACAACCAGCATCACGTGAGTCCAGTCAGAGTGAGATGAGCAGCAGTGAGCAGCGCTTGTGTTTTTAATGGCTTTAAAATGATGTCAGACTCAGGAAAACGTCCTTCACATGTCCTTATTAAAGAAGGCCGAGAGGAAGACGTCGTGTTCTGAGACACATAAGCTGGACGTCCGTCCCACCGCCGTCTTTTAAAGATCAGAGCATAAACTTCGTCTCCTCTGCAGACCAGTTTCTGCTCCGCCATGTTGAACGGTATAAACTTTCACTATGACGCGACGAACATGATCAGAACAGACTTAAACTTTCCGATAGGGAATGTATTCAGATACAGGCGTTTACACGAATATTATTCTTCTGTTTACCTGATTATATACAGGATTACCCACCTCGATCAGTCGGATAGAAACTGTATTCCGAATGGCCTCAATCGGACTAGACTATTCCGTTTAACGTATTTACATGGACGTATTCTATTCCGATTTGAGCTATTAGTCGGATCATTAACGGATTATTAGGCTGCATGTAAACATGGCTACTGAGATCCAATACCGAGCTCCAAACTACTCTATACATAAAAATATCTTTGTGATTATAAACTCTTTCCCCTTCTTTATTTCTCTCTCTCTCTCACACACACACACACACACACACACACACACACACACACACACACACACGGTCCTTTGCTTATTTTCTCATTAGTATTTTTATATATTTGTATTATTAGCTATCTATTTTTCTTTCTCTTATCACTGTTCGTCTGTTTGTTTATGCTTTCATGTCCTCCCTCATGAATACATTGTGAATAAAAATAAAGTTTTAATAGTCCTCCAAAGAGGAGGCGGGGTGGTGGCGGGCCAAAAAAAGGAGTAGTCAAACAGTTTTTGGGGTTTGTATGTCCAAACATTAATGCTGTGTGGGCTGAAGGTTTAGAATCTGCACTTTCCACAAAATTTCTCCACTTGTTTCTATGGGCTGTGAGTTATTAAAAATAAATTACAGCGTGTTTGTGTTAAGCGCAGTCAGTGCTGTGTGTTCTGGGTTTTAACGTTCCCATGATAAAAGCTGAACATCTGCGCTCTTCATATTTTGCGTCTGTGAGGTTTTCAGGCTGATACGTTGGACGTTTCTCAGATTACACTTTTAAAGAATGCCTGAATGTCCCCGTCTGTGTTTAGTGTGTTTAAAGCTGGACAGGCTGAGTGGTGAGTTTATAGCCGCACGTCTGTTTGTGGATTTGCATTCCTCTGTTCCGGTTTGTACCTGTCTGTTCAGGAATAACCACCTCTTCTCCTGTGTCCACAGGGTTACTACGACAACCCCAAGGTGTGTGCACTGTATGTGATGAAAGGGAAACCAGAAGGTGGGTGGTATTATTATTATTATTATTATTATTATTATTATTATTATTAATATTAATATTAATATTATTAATAGTATTTTCATCAGGGCTGTCAAAGTGATAACCATGCTTAACTTACACAGTAACACATTTTCCTAGTTTGACCCGTTCGTATTAGATGTTATTTATGCTTTATGTTGCTCTGATAGAATCCATGATTGTAGCGCCCTCTTTCATCATGGAGGAGTTCGCTGACTGTATATATGATTGACATATGTGACCTTAGCTTGCAAATTGCTGCTGTCGGAAGAAAACCTCGTATCTCCATTTTTGTTGTTTTTCAGTTTTTGACATAATTTAAAAAATGCTTGTTGCCCTTCACATTGTGTGTAAATTTCATGATGAATGGACCAGAAGAAATGACCCTAAATGACTTGGAAAAAAGTCTGGCTCCATTGACTTACATTAAAAGCAAAGTATGTTTTTTCCTTCTCCTGTAATGTTTTGGAGATACAAGGTTTGATTGGTCAGAAGCTCAGCCCTGACCCATAATCCAGATCTTAGCCAGCCATGGAGCAGGTTAGGAATGCAGCACAGGCTGCCATGGTGATTCATCCTGGCCAAAAGTGATCCACAGTTATGAGACGCTAAATCCGGGGTTAGTTTGAAATGAGCTTAAAGTTAGCTGACTAAACAGAAGTTCTGTCTGTCTTTCTCTTCTTTCATTTTTAAAAATAATAATAATAATAGTAATAATAATTACAACAGTCTTTGTATAACATTTTCCATTTTAGTTCATAAATCTCTAAGTTCTCTACACGTTCTGTTCATTTTTATCACTCGTTTTTCTGCTGCTCTTCTCTCAGACGTGCCTAAGCTGCAGCCGCACCCCGGTCTGGAGAAGCGAGAGGAGGATGAGGAGGAGGAGGAGGAGGTGGAGGTCGGAGAGGACGGTGTGAAGAAGAGCACCTCTACCTCTCGGAAAAACCCCGTCCGCTCCGGCCCGCGAACGCCGAACCCGTACGCCGCCGACAACAGCAGCCTGATGTTCCCCATCCTGGTGGCGTTCGGGGTTTTTATCCCAACACTGTTCTGCCTCTGCCGCCTGTGAGGGGCGAGTGAGGTGGGGAGGGGGTCTGGGGGGCGGACAGCAGGCTGCGGAGGGGTGGGGGGGGCAACACGGAGGGACACGGACACAAAAAACGAGACAGAGAGAGAGAGAATGAGAGAAAGAGAGACAGTGAACAGTATGTGGTCGTGTCAGAATTTGCATATTGCTCTTGTTCAGCAGGAGGACGATGACATCAGCAGGGTTAAAGGAATAGTTCAGTCCAAAACGCTAACGGTGCCAAGCGCTAACAGGGTCCTGCCTCAAGGCGGAATGTTTCACAACAGCAGCAGTATTTCAGGAACTAAATAACCTAGATGCAGAGGGGGGGGGGTTGCCGTGACGACCCTCACTGTCATGATAGTACTGTAAAACAAGCAAACAAACAAACGAACCACACGTAAACACGCGTGACCAACTCGCACGTCACACTAACGGTGAATGAGATTCTACCGCCATCTGTTAGCGTTATGCTAATTACAGGCTGATAGCTTCCATTCATCACACAGGCCACGTTAGCGCTTGGCACGAGCTGTTCCTTTGAGTGATCTGGTTAATTTATTCGTGTGTTTCTGTTTTTGCGCACATGTTTTAATACTTTTGAGCTTTTCTAAAGCTGTATGTTCCACACAGCCATGACAGGACTGACCACTTTGCAAACCAGGTTCATCCTGTCCGACAGGAAATAACGGGGCGAAGCTCAGAGCGCTGCTTGTGATTGGCTGACCTGCTCTTTTGATAGTGTTTTGACAAACAAAGCCCAGATAATTGTGTCAGTTCACTGATTTCAGCAGGGTGTGAAGGGTAACATGATATTTTTTCTTTCTTTTTTTGGCTTACCTCACTTATTTTTAGTTTTTCTTCCTCCTTTAGACCCGCTGCCTATCATCCGGTTCACTCAAGTTTGTCCGCTATGCAGCGCCTAACTTTCTTTATAGGAGGTGTGACCACATTGTAACCAACCGCAAGTATTTTTTTGAAAGATTTGAAAGATTTTATCTTTCCAGTAGTTTTCAAACGAGATGTGCATTTTTCTCTTCTTTCAGTCAGCATTTTAGTTTAGTAATTGAGGAAAACCACATCTACCCAAATCCTTTTACTCGCCCATCTCTGTGCTGAGACATGATGGCAAAATGATATTTCTGCTGTTTAAGACCGTTTAGAATTTAGGCCACTTAGCATTTAGCACAGGTTTGCCAAATGTGCCCTATTTAAAAGAGAAATAAATAAATAAATAAGTAAATAATTGAAGCTGGCCTTTGGGTCCTCGAGACCACGGAGTATTATTTTCTAGGATTTCTGGCAGCTGCGTAACTCATTTCATCACTGTTTTGTGGTCTGTTTTCTCTGGTTTGGTTTGTTTTTGCTGTTATTGGTTAGCCTAATAATAACGGAGGGTGGTGATGTGTCCTGCTGCGGTCATTAGAGAGGAGGACGTTTGGTCATAGTGCCTGCGTAATCAATGCTATTAGCTGTGGGCTAATTACCATTACAAGCAGCTGATGGTTAATTGTAAGATGAAAGTGAACACAGCGCTGATCAGGATGCCTATTATTTTACCGTCTGTGTTCTTTTCTCTTTTATTGTCTTTGATCTTTGTTCCCCCCCCCGACCCACGGAGTCACCGTCATTGCCTTTCTCCTCCTGACGCGACCCCTCCAGGCCTTTTTTACGGCATCACCAAAGATCTTTTAGTTCGGTTAGGTTCGTTTTTCTATATATATATCAGTGATGGGCCCCTTAGTGCTTCTCAAAAAAGTGAAAATATTAACCGGTGCTGTGATGAAGAAATGTCCCGTTGTTACAGATAGCTTGTGTTTATGGACTTTTCCTCACAAGGACACATGGCTGTGAAATGTGCGAAGTAATTAGCGCTTTCTCGCTGTTGCGCTTGCGACTTTCGCAAACCCTGAAAACCTCTGTTGCGCAAACTTAACTTTCGCAAACTCTGAAAAACTTTCTCCCTTTCTGTCTTTTTAAAGCAATAGTTTAAGCAAAAAAAGGTACACTCTTTAAAAGATTCTTCAGTAAAGGCAGTGGTTCTGTGTAGAACCATTCATGCTTAAATGCTCCTTTGCATGGTAAAATGGTTCTTCAGATTGATGGAAAATGTGTTGTGTTTCTATATAGAACCTTTTTGAAAATAGTTCTATGTAGCCCCCAAAAGGGTTCTTCTATTGTTACAAGCTTGGCATCATAACAACTGCAGTGCTATGTGGAACTGTATACAGCACATTCTCCATCAATCTGAAGAACCATTTTACCATGGAAAGAACAATTTAAGCATGAAATGGTTCTTTGAGTGTTCATGGTTCTATATAAAACCATTCCCTTTACTAAGGAACCCTTGAAGTTTTTAAGAGTGTAATTTGGCACAAATTGATCAGCCAGGACATGTTTGGTGTCTGAATTTAGCTTCTTTAGGCTAATCTAGCTAACATGTAATGGAGGCTTGCTAGCGACATTAGCGTCAGTTAAATTAGCATCAGCTGGCATCACACTCTCCTCAGACTGTGTGGAGGTGTTCAGTATCTCTAATGGACTTGATTATGTGGTTTCTGACATTTATATGGACTAAAATATATCAGCAAAGCTGAAAAAACCGTGTGCCACCTACATACAGTTAGCACGATGCTAACTGCTAACCGTTCCTACTTGTTAGCTACATTAGCCTGTTGGCCCCCGTGCTAAAAATAAAGAAGCAAACTTCAGACAACAAACATGACTCGGCTGATCAGCTGTGCTTGGGTCAAGGGGAGAATTTCATAAATTAGATTTTTTGCTGAACTATTTCTTTCATTTCTCTTCTTATTGTTTTAACATAGCATTTCTCTCTCTCTCTCTCTCTGTCTCTCTCTCTCTCTTTCTGTCTCTCTATCACCACCATCTTTTTGCCTGATATGTTTTTCAAATGGCGCCTCTAAATTCCCCAGATAGCCAGCAAATATCGGTCCGCTGGCTTGATAAGGTCAGCACCCCGCTGACCGTATGCTACTGCTGGTCCCCCCTCAGACCACCCAGATTACTGTCCAGCATACGAGGACTTTTTAATCTCCTCAAACAGATTTTCAACAAATTTTATTTTGGAAAATAAATTCTAGAAAATGATTCTGTTGTTGCTGAAACTGTGCTGGATTAGTTACAGCTGTAAAACCGGCATATTTGTGATATTGCTGTTAAAATTATTTACATAACTAATTTACAGAGGACAGCGGAGGAAAGAAATGAAGGAAAATAAGTAATTTGGACTGTCAGTAGAAAACGAGCATCTAAAAGTGGTATTCTGTCTAACACTCTGCTTAACCGCTGAGCAGAAAGCCGGTGGGCCGCCAGCAGTGGCTGCTATCTTCTTGCTATCTGGTTCATTTTTGATTTTATTTTATTTTTTTTTTGTGGAGTGTTTTGTTATCTGTGTTCTTCGTGTGAGGAGTGTGAAATTAGCGCTTCTCTTGCTGAATTATTAGCTCTGTTTGCTAATGGTACACATGCATGTATAGCTGTAGCGTGTTTGTGTCCCAGCCTGAGTGGCCAAACATTCTCATGACCCTGATTGTATTAATCTGCTTGGCTGTGTCGTTTATATCTCTGAAATATGAAATGATGGACGGCCGTGAGCGCTGGTGAGCTCAAGGAATGGTTGATAAGTATGATCTGTCTTGAAGCGATAGTTTAGCCGAAAAGTTGAGTTTAACCAGTTTTCCCTTTTACAACACAAAATGTAGCCCATCCAGCCGAGGCATGTTTGGTGTCTGAAGTTTGCTTCTTTAATTTAAAGGGGAATGCCACCAATATTTCAGAATTTCTGAATAATTCAGTCCTTGAGATGTAATCAGAGTGATTCAGAGTGGTTTGGTGTGAAATGGTTCAGATCTCTTTATAGTGGTGGTGATAGGAACCAGGGGTCGCCATGACTACAACACAAATATAGACATTTTATTTACTATCCAAAACCACCAGTGAACCTACACGAGTCTTCTGAGTTTAAATGGAATGTTGATGATGAAAAATAGTGGAAAATCCGGAATAATCTAGTTTTCTTTGGGGACTATTTTGCCTCACAGCGCCCTGCATGTATCCCTCCACCATGAAAGGATTCAAATAAACTGATTAACAACATTTCAGGTCAAAACTTTACCACAAAACGATCATAAAACAGTGTCTCAGTCATCAGGCAGTGAATTCATAACCATTTCATGTAGTAACTTTCTGTGAGGGAGCTTTTAGAGGTGGACGTCTGGTTCCTATCACCACCACTGTGAACAGTTCTGACTCGGTAAGTTTATCTAGAACGGAGCGTTTCACACCAAACCACTCTGAATGACTCTGTTTACGTCTTAACCATTCAGTTACCATTCAGGAGTTCTCCTTTAACGTTACCAGTCCCGGTTCTAAACGCTTTTCTAGTCAAACTAGTCGAGTTTTATATGGAATGTTGATGATGGAAAATAGTGGAAAATCTGGAATAATAAGTTTTCTTTGGGGACTATTCTGCCTCTGGTCTGGTTCCTATCACCACCACTGTGAACAATTCTGTCTCTCTACGTTTCTCTAGAACAGAGCGTTTCACACCAAACCACTCTGAACGACTGTTTACATGTGGAGCTGTGGGGCTAATGTAGCTAACAAGTGAAGGATGCTAATACCCTGCTGATTAGCATGGTGCTAATAATCTCTAATAGACTTGCTTATGTGGTTTTCGACCCTGTGTCACACTCTACTAGCTATAAACATGGATAAAAGAATAGCTAAGCTAAAATGGCAATTGGTAAAAACAGTAGTACCAGTGTTTTGAAGAGAACTCCGTGCAGTTGGGGGCATTTAGGCATGCAGTTAGCACTGTGCTAATTGGTGGAGCATTAACTACCATTGCATATTAGCTACATTAGCCTCGTAGCTCCTGTGCTAAAACTAAAAAAAGCAAACTCCAGACTGTAAACGTGTCTTAGAGGATGGACTATATTTGATATAAAGGGGGGAAAATATGTGTAAATTGTATTTTTATGCTATACTATCGTCTGAAACCCCTCCTCCTCTGTACGAGGTTCTGCTCTGTCCTGGATCGAGAGGCTAGCGTTTTATTCATGCCTTTATTTTGGCCTTGTTTATAGTTCGATACAGAAGATCAGAAAGCAATCGTGAAAGAAGCACCTTTTGTCATTTATTTGAGAAAATTTTAATGATAATCGGCGCCAAAGTCATGTATTTTTTGTTCCTTTACACAGTGTGTGTGTATATAAGGTACTTCGGTCACACGAATTGTGTGCCATACGGTTATTTTCGTCTTTGAATATTTGGAATAATATTGTTGCTGTTATTATTTTGTTGTCGTCTTCGTTGTTGTTGCTGTTATTGTTGTTATTGGGGTGTCTGGGTATGGCACTGAGGAGTGGCCTTGCTGCTGGACGTGCTGATGTCAGGGTTTTATTGACCATTGATTGGACAGTCAGGCTAACATACGTTGACTGATGGACAGAAAGAAATAATGAGGCTAGTTACAGGACCTGGGTTTCTTTTTATAATATTTTATAATTTAAATAAATGGAAATGGTTTGATATTGCAATTTTTTTTTGGATGGGTTTGAAAAGTAGTCGCTCTTTCCTCAGGATCTTTGATTTACTTTTTACGATGGTTTTATTGGTGATTTTTTTGCACTGCCTGCTGTTATGTTAAAAGCATTGCTTTTTTCCTCCCTTTGTCATCTGTTGTCTTTTTTTGTTGCCTTGATTTTGAATACATCCATATGTGCTTTATCATTGTGAGTTTTTCTTTTTATTTTCGTTCTTGCTGTGTTGCTGGATCATTTTTGCATGCCTGTTTTTTATCTTTTTTTCCCCCTTGTTTGGTCTCCCAAACAGCTGAAACCGTGCACCGTTAGCTCTTTCTTACCAAATACATACATCCTACGACACAGCCAAAGACTGCCTTCATGCATAATGGTACACATTCGATGCATGTGATATATCCTGTGCTGCACAGACGCCTGGGTGTACAGAGCTAAAGGTGATGGAGACTTTTCTCTGGTTTTGTTGAACACTCCTCTGCTGGACTCCCTGTTCCCCCCGACCTCCTCCCCCTACACGTCTGATGAATTTGGGAACTGGTGAAGGGGCTACACTCTGCAGTCTTTAGGGAAAATTAATCTGAAGCAGGAGCTGCAAACTCATGCTGTTTCTTTTTAATAAATGTGCTATTTTATCTAAACTGGCCTTCATGTTGTATCATTTTGTGCCTATATTACCTCTAAGAGAGCAGTTTATGCAGCCTTACAATGAAAAATCACTATAAAAATGAGTTGTAATTTAAAACAAAACAATAATTAACGTCCTACATTCTGTTACCTGTGTGTTTAAGGCAGTCAGGTTCAATTTCATGGATAAAACCTCATAATTTTACAGTGTACACTTCAACCCACTGTATTAACTCCTGCCTTCGCTTTCAGATCCAGCCTTGGACGGATCTGCGTTAGCAATTGTGATTCAACATTTAAACATCCATTCCACTCGTTTTCCAATATCCCCCCCATAATTTAGTGGTTCAGTGGTAAAGCAAGTCATTCAGAGTGGTTTGGTGTGAAATGGTTGATTGTAGAGACTCAGATTTCTTTACAGTGGTGGTGAAAAGACACAGAACACAAATATAGACTTATTTACTGTTCATAAATGGAATGTTAATGATGGGAAAATAGTGAAAAATTAAAAAACAAAAGACTATTTTGCCTTAAACCTGCATGTATCCCTCCACCACGAATGGATTTTAAGGCCAAAATCTTTGGAATGACTTTGTGTTCGGTTTAGCTATGTTTCTGTTGTTTTTGCTGCTAAATTTTAAAGACAAATCCAGTTCTTTGATAAATAAAGTGACGTTTGGCGCGGATTTCAAGAATCTGCATTTATGAATAAAGAATTAGGCTATAATAAAACATATATACCTAAAAAGTCCTCCGCTTTAACAGACACTGTAAAGTTTTCAGTGACAAATGTTGGGAAATTAAAAAATAATCCGCAGCGATATCAGATTAAGGAAGTAAACACGGCGAATAAGGTCTCCATGGCAACTTCGGAACGTGTTCAGCCAATCAGCAGCGCCGCTCGCTCTCGGCGTGGCTTCTCCATAGTGACGCGCGACGCCATCTTAAAAAACGAGTGGCTCTCGCGTAGTGAGGGGAAGCGACTCAGTTCAGCGAACCGATTCGTTCGAACTGTCCGAACGTCAGAATCAGGGAGTCGCCGATTCATAAGTCAAGTCAAATTTCTTATCCTATCAGTTCGGATTATTTGTTTATTGGTCTAACGCTGTACGCACGAAAGCACAAACGCGTTATAAGATCGCATTCAACGTCAATTTATTAATTTATTGTTTTTTAATTGTTAAAAACTATTGTGTGAATTTTCTACAGCAAAAAAAACAGAACCCCTGAGATGATATGGTGATTATTTTTTAATAAGGCGTGGCCATGAGTTACTACATGAGTTGGCCTCAATATATTAATTTGTGGCCTCAACATAGCAACTCGTACCCTCAACATAGAAACCCGTGGCCTCGATATATTATTTTGTGGCCACGCCTTATTAAAAAAATAATCACCATGTCGCTTTAGCGGCTCCATACATAAACTTTGCATAAATGCTAGAAAGAAAGGTTTGATCCAGTGAATTGGTTCGTCCTGCTTATTGAAGAGAACCGGTTCAAGAGAACCGATTCGTTCGCGAGACGGGCATCGCTACTCTCTCACGCTTAAAAAACGGACGGAGCTCGCGCCGAGGAGAAAAACACCAAACCCGAACCCCGACCATGAGCGCTCCGAGACCGCGACAGGAACCGGCGGCCGCCGCCGTTACTGGACCGGATTCGTCCGGGGAGAGGAAGCAAGGCGGCGGTGCGCTAAAGCGGCTCAAACCCCGCCGGAGCCAGACGGACCGGCGGCCCGCCACCGAGGAGGAGCTGCGCGGACTGGGCAGAGCCATCACCCCGGAGGAAGTGCTGGGGCTGCGGACAGTCACTCGGGGTGAGAAAGGGGGGGAAAGGAAGGAAAACCGCTCGAGTTGTACACGGCAAACGTGAGCAGTTCGACTAGAAAAGCGTTTAGAACCGGGACTGGTAACGTTAAAGGAGAACTCCACCGAATTTTCTGAATTCCTGCGTAACTGAATGGTTAAGACGTAAACAGAGTCATTCAGAGTGGTTTGGTGTGAAACGCTCTGTTCTAGATAAACTTACCGAGTCAGAGCTGTTCACAGTGGTGGTGATAGGAACCAGACGTCCATCTCTAAAAGCTCCCTCACAGAAAGTTACTACATGAAATGGTTATGAATTCACTGCCTGATGACTGAGACACTGTTTTATGATCGTTTTGGCCTGAAATGTTGTTAATCAGTTTACTAGAATCCATTCATGGTGGAGGGATACATGCAGGGCGCTGTGAGGCAAAATAGTCCCCATAGAAAAGTGATTATTTCAGATTTTCCACTATTTTCCATCATCAGCATTAATCAGAAGACTCGTGTAGGTTCACTGGTGGTTCTGGATAGTAAATAAAATGTCTATATTTGTGTTGCAGTTATGGCGACCCCTGGTTCCTATCACCACCACTGTAAAGACATCTGAACCATTTCACACCAAACCACTCTGAATCACTCTGATTACATCTCAATCACTTAAAGAAAAATCCCATTTAATACAAAATTCCCCTGTAATGCTGTGGCGAGCTTTAGTGTGGCACTACGTTACCCAGTGTTCATAGCACAACATTTCAGAATTATTTATTACAGTTTATTAAATACAGCTGTTATTTAATAAAGCTTGAAGTTTACAGTATCGTTACTGCTGTAGGGAGCTTTTTCAGCACAGCAGTATATTACAAAAACTCAACTCTATATTTCACTATTACTTATTGCAGCTAACTGATGCATCAGTGATTCTCATTAAAGGAGAATTCCACTGAATTCATAACTCAGTGTGTGAGATGTAAACAGAGAGATTCAGAGGGGTTTGAACCAGTGAACCAGTGAAATGGTTCAGATGTCTTTACAGTGGTGGTGATAGGAACCAGGGGTCGCCATGACTACAACACAAATATAGACATTTTATTTACTATCCAAAACCACCAGTGAACCTACACGAGTCTTCTGAGTTTATATGGAATGTTGATGATGGAAACTAGTGGAAAATCTGGAATAGTAAGTTTTCTTTGGGAGCATTTTTGCCTCTGCATGTATCCCTCCACCATGAATGGGTTTTAAAAATACGTTTTAGATCAAAATATTTTAAGGGGGCTTTTAGAGGTGGATATCTGGTTCCAGTCACCACCACTGTGAACAATTCTGACTCGGTAAGTTTCTCTAGAACAGAGAACAAACCACTCTGAACCACTCTGTTTACATCTTAACCACTTATATATACAGAGAGATTTTAAAAAATTGGTGGACTTTCCCTTTAAAGCATGCTCAGATTACTGATTATCCTTGTCTAAATATCTGAAACTTGTAGAACAGTAGAATCAGCCTCGCAGATAAGATTTTGGAAATGTTTTAATCTGGATGTGGCTAATTTGTAGTGGTCCACTTTCTAAGACCCAGATTAAATCAACTGAAATGGATTAGCAATGATCAGTCAGCACAGGCCCTGTATCTAGTCCAAGCCTGGGCTTAATCCGGGCCTGAGAACCTGTTTTAGTGTACTGTGAGGAGCGTTCTAGGTAAACTGAGTTCAGCTGCCGTATGATAGTTTGCTTGTTTACAGGGCTAATTGATAATAGACCACTTTCTCAGTCACAAATGCAGTTTAAGCTGCACTCTTAAAGAGATGGTTCTTTAAGTGTTCTTAAGTAAAGTAAATGGTTCTATGTAGGACCATGAACCTTCAAAGAACCTTTTGCATGATTGAATGGTTCTTTGCTTGGTGAAATGGTTCTTCAGACTGATGGAGAATGTGCTGTATGTGGTTCTTCTTTTTTTGAAAAGGGTTTTTCTATTGTGTCTATGTAAAGCCTGTAACAATAGAAGAACCTTTTAGTGCTATGTAGAATCCATTTCAAAAAGGTTCTGTATAGAACCATATAAAACACATTCTCCATCAATCCAAAGGAACTTTTCACGATGCAAAGAACCCTTTAATCATGCAAATGGTTCTTTGAGTGTTCATGGTTCTACATAGAACCATTTTCTTTACCGAAGAACCCTTGAAGGACCATTTTTTATAGGAGTGCAGGGCTCAGCAATATGATATTTATCGTTATTGTGATAAATTACTTCACTCTATGTCACAGTTTGCTTTTCTGAGTATCAGTACTTAAAATACTTCACCTGCCTGTCTGATTACAGGGAGACCATAAACAGTTTAAGTGGATTTAGAGCAGCACAGTGTATAAAACGTGGAACACAAATTATGCAATTCATAGTTTTAATAGTTTTATTAAAGTGTGGCTCTACTTTGTCTGTTCCAGCTTATCAGATGTCAGAAATAATAAAGATAGATAGATAGATAGATAGATAGAAGATAGATAGATAGATAGATACTTTATTGATCCCTAAGTAAATTTAAATATTTAAATTTAAATATTGTGCCATTTTGTGTTGCGAAAATGTCTTGAATTATCGTAATATGTTGTTGCCATATCACCCACCTGTATTTTAAATCAAATCAAATCAAATCAAAACACATTTGTTTTGTTGTCACATCACATTTACACAGGTGTGAAGGTGAGTGAACTTAAATATCCCAAATATCCCCAAAAAAAATAAGGAAATACACACACACACACACACATACATATACACATATATACACACACACACACACACACACACACACATATATATATATATATATATATATATATATATATATATATATATATATAATATATATATATATATATATATATATAAGGCTTAATGTATTGTGAGGAGTATTTATGCTGTAGTTTGAGATGATTGTAGCCTTATTATTATTAAGATTATTTATCTTTTTTCTGCATATTTTATTTGTTTTAAGTCATTTTATTAAGTAAATTTATCTCACTGTGTTGACAGATAGTTTTGCTTGTTGTAAGAAATGAGCTTGAAAACAGCCAAATGATCTGCCACTACAGTGAGATCATTTTACTAAATAAAATTACTTAAAAGAAGTAAAAATGTCTAGAAATAGGTTAGATAATCTTATAATAAGGCAACAATCTCAAAATGAGAAATATTAGACCTATTGACTAAATTTAAGATATGTTCACTTGCCAAGACGCCACTTTCATATTGTCTTCTTCGTCAATATGATGTGTCTGATTAATAAACTGTGTATTTTTGACAGACTACCTGTGTAAACCTGAGGACAACGTCTACAACATTGACTTCACACGCTTCAAAATCAGAGACTTGGAGACGGGCACGGTGCTCTTCGAGATCGCCAAGCCTCCACACTCAGGTGGGCCGCCTCCTGTTTATGCGTTATGCTAACCAAACACTAGAAGACTTTAAAAAGACTTTTGAAAGACTAAAGTCTGACTCCCTCTCACATTTAAAGACAGCGTCACGGTTTTTAGTTACAGACTATGATTTTGCAAAGACTAGGAATCTTACAGTGTCACTATTTATAAAACTGCAACTAGATTTTTGAGATTATTCCCCATCATGCACCTGGTGGGAATTTACAAGCAGATAAACACTTCCTTCCACTCCATAGTGGTACAGATGGGAAGATACGCTGGCTGGGCATGTAAAGATCAGGGGCTCAGCCCAGTTCACTGTAGAGCTGTATACTCTGGCAGATCATCACCCAGAATCTTTATAATTAACCTGTAAAATGTGCTGCTACTTTTTAAATGTGATGTAAAGATTTACACATCAACACAACATGCAGCAATTCAGCATCGTTGATTGGGTGTCATAAACTAAACCATAAAAAACAAACAGTGTAACAGAAAGCAAGGAGGAAAAAACTCGTCTACACATTTCCTTACATACCTGTTACAGGATCAGTGAACCTGAAGTATTACATTTTAAGTGAATATGATTACTGTATTAAAGTGGAGCAGATTTGCCGTTTTTACAGAAATTTCAGGCAGTAACATGTACATTTTTCTCTCTCTCTCTCTCTCTCTCTCTCTCTCTCTCTCTCGCGTCGTGCACATGCGCTCGCCCGCAAGCACTCAGACACGCCCCTGGCGCGTCACTGGTTGCATGAGCCAAGACTTAAAATTATGATAATATTAAACACGTTTGATTTTGTCGCAGCGTCAACACAAGAAAAAGACTGACTTAAGACCTCCATCTTGACCACCTTACACAAAACAATCGAGGTGACACGAGCGAGACGCAACTCCAGCAAGAGTCTCGTGATTTTATTCCGACCCGATATTTGTTTGCGACTGTAAAATGGCTTGAAAAGTCGTTTGGTGTGAGGCCAGCATTAGTCTGACTCCCTCTCACATCTAAAGACAGTGTCACACTTCTTGAGAATGGTTCTAAGAAAAAGTCTGCGTCAGATTCATGACGTGTTCTTAAAGCGCAAACCTGTTCTCACCTTTGTGCTTTTGAGTGTGTAGATTCTGTTCTTACCTAAGAACAAATCCCACATAAGAGAACACTGGTGAACGTCAGAACTGCGTAAGTGGGTTTTAGAGGAAATTTTGGTTGGAGAACGAGGCCCGTTTTTAGTCTGATCTCTTCCAGTGATGCTGGAGCTCAGACTCTCAGGAGGATCTGATCTGTTCATCAAAGACACAGACTTATGGAGCTCATGCAGCTCGAGTGCACACTGTCATTAAAGCCAAAGGACACACACCACCAAATACTACAAAATTCTGAAATTCATTAAAGTTTCAAAGATTTTAATACGCAGTTCCAAACTACTCTACACACCGATCAGGCATAACATTATGTTGTTTCTACGCTCATTGTCCATTTTATCAGCTCCACTTACTATATAGGTGCACTTTGTAGTTCTACAGTTACAGACTGTAGTCCATCTGTTTCTCTGCATACTTTGTTAGCCCCCTTTTACCCTGTTCTTCAGTGGTCAGGCCCCCCATGGACCCTCACAGAGCAGGTACTATTTGGGTGGTGGATCATTCTCAGCACTGCAGTAACACTGACGTGGTGGTGTGCTAGTGTAAATAAAAATAAAATGCTGATAATATTATTTGTAATGGAAAAACTTTTGTATTAAATTACAAAGGAATACAAAATAAAAGCATTATTTTATCACCACTCTCAGACATTTGACCCCACTGTGACCTCACAAAAATTCAAAACAGGCTGTTTTTACAGTTTGTAAGAACTGGGATTGAGCGATATGTCTTTAAATTTTAATAGTGTTTACATGGTGCATCTGTTTCATTCACATCTTGTGAAGTGAAATGATCTTAAATCTAGTCAATATATCCAATATGTCTCACATTGAGACTGCTGTAAGCTTATTATGAGACTATTTAACTGATTTGTTTGTTGTTTTAAGTGATTTTATCAAGTAAAATGATCAAACTATACTGGCAGAAAATTTTGCTTTTTTTTTAAGAAATATTCTTGAAGCAAGGCAAAATTATCTGCCTATACAAGAATAAAACATTAAAAATGAGTTAAGATATTAGATTTATTGACTAGATTTAAGATCTTTTCACTTTACAAGCTGATATAATTTCTTGCAGTTTAAAAAAAAAGCAAATAAAATGTTGTTTTCTATGATAAGAGGCTATAATATTTCTAATAAATTCTTAGTTTACAAAGTCAAATTGAATGGTTTTTGTGACAAATTGATGCTTTAATGTTAATATATGTCCAAGACTGCTAGTGGCAGACAGCTGCACAGGCACTTCCTGTTAAGGATGTCTGAAATTCAATTTTTGGGGTGATTATTGCAGTAAAATCACTTTATTTTTAGTGTGACACAGTTTTTTGGACTACATTTGTGAAATGAACCTTTTTAAAATATCTTAAAATATGCTGCTTATTTTGGATTTCAAAAACAACAACCTTAAAGCTGCGCTATGTAAGTTTTGGGGACCTCTCTGGTGGAAGTGGGTAACTGCACACAGCGTTAGTGCTGAATACTCTGCAGTGAGCTGTGGTGTGAATATTTATTTTCTCATGTACAGATTTTCTCTCTCACCCTGACAGATTTGGATGAGGAAGATGAAGAAAACGTGGACGTGGACACGAGCGCTGGACGTTTTGTTCGTTATCAGTTCACCCCAGCGTTTCTAAAGCTGCGCACAGTCGGAGCCACGTAGGTCAACCCGCACACACGAAGGGTCTCGATACAACGTTTTGGTACACTTTGTTTAAAACAAGCACAAAATATGTTTTACATTTCTGTGCAAAAGTCAGAAACCACCCTTCATTTTATTTAATTTCTGGTCAAAAGAGCCATTAAATACAAATAATCAATTTTCTCTGGTCATATTGAGTGCGTTTACATGCACTTAATAATCTGATCATAATCAGATTTCAAGTTGTCATGTAAACAGCACACTCTTAGATCAGAGTAAGGTCTAGAAATCCGATTAAGAAATCTGATAAAGAGGCTGGATTTTAGCTCAGTAATCAGATTTCTCAGTGCTATAAACTCTTACTCTGATTTCTTTCGGATTTCTTTGTCTGAGCGTGTGCAAAAACAGACGGTGGTACCGGAAATAAGCGAGCAGCATCACCATAAGACGCAGCAAAACAATTTTGGAGCGACGCTGAAACCAAGCACATGATGAAATGTAGGATTTAAATATTCTTCATCTTCTAGATGATAAAAAAAGGATAAAAAAGGTCACATCTTCTTCTGTGAGTTTACTGGCTGGTTGTAAAGCAGAAATCCAGTTACTGTCTGACTCATGTAGACCTGGATTTTCCCCGTTATCTGATTACTCAAGAGCATATAAACTGCGTTTTCTTCAGTTACTGGATTATTAAGTGCATGTAAACGCACTCATTTTTGAGGAGGTTATAGATAAAATAATCCAACTGCGCAAGGATGGAGAAAGTCAAAGTGGAAAAAAAACAGGAGTTCAGAAAATGATTAAAAGCTCCAGAGAAAATGAGGCTCCTAACAACCACCTGGAAGAGCTGATAGACCCCAAAACTGTCCCCATCAGATAAACAGCACTTAAAGCTTTCATCTTTGAGAGAGAGGAGAAAATCAAGCTGCTTCAGATCTGAAAACATCCACAGGTGTTTCTGTCCATCCTTCCACTGTGAGAAGACGACTCAGCGCTGTGGGTCTGAAAGGATGTGTAGCTGATCAAGAAGAACCTCACTGAGAAAAGGAGACGGACACACCAAAAAAGAAGCTGAACGATGGACTGACCACCCCAGTGTCCAGACCTCAACATCACTGAATGTGTTTGATTACTTCAGAAAATCATCAACCAGCTTCTAAGACTGAACTTTGGAGGTGTGTCTGATGTTTCCTGCATTTTTCTGACACTAAAAATGAATAACTAATGGCTGTTTTGACTGGAAATTAAATAAGTGAAAGGGTGGTCTTTGACTCTTGCACAGTCATGAGGTCTCATGTTAGTGATAAACAATTTTATGTTTTAAATATGCTAATGAGCATCTCTCATAACATAAACATACACAGATCAGGCGTAACGTTATGACCACCTCCTTGTTTTTACGCTCATTGTCCATTTTATCAGCTCCACTTACTATATAGGTGCACTTTGTAGTTCTACAGTTACAGACTGTAGTCCATCTGTTTCTCTGATACTTTGTTAGCCCCCTTTTACCCTGTTCTTCAGTGGTCAGGACCCCCATGGACCCTCACAGAGCAGGTACTATTTGGGTGGTGGATCATTGTCAGCACTGCAGTAACACTGATGTGGTGGTGGTGTGTTATTTTGTGTTGTGCTGGTCTAAGTGGATCAGACACAGCAGGGCTGCTGGAGTTTTTAAACACCTCAGTGTCACTGCTGGACTGAGAATAGTCCACCAACCAAAAATATCCAGCCAACAGCGTCCTGTGGGCAGCGTCCTGTGACCACTGATGAAGGACCAACACAAACTGGACAGCAGCAGATGAGCTATTGTCTCTGACTTTACATCTACAAGGTGGACTGACAAGGTAGGAGTGTCTAATAGAGTGGACAGTGACTGGACACAGTGTTTAAAACTCCAGCAGCACTGTTGTCTCTGATCCACTCATACCAGCGCAACACACCACCACCACGTCAGTGTTACTGCAGTGCTGAGAATGATCCACCACCCAAATAGTACCCGTTTTGTGAGAGTCCATGGGGGTCCTGACCACTGAAGAACAGGGTAAAAGGGGGCTAACAAAGTATGCAGAGAAACAGATGGACTACAGTCTGTAACTGTAGAACTACAAAGTGCACCTATATAGTAAGTGGAGCTGATCAAATGGACAATGAGCGTAGAAACAAGGAGGTGGTCATCATGTTCTGCCTGACCGGTGTAACATCCACACATGGTTACCCTGCATAAATAAAGAATTAAAGGTATAAAACAGTGAATGGTTTATCATGTTGCAGTGCTGAAAAGCACTGAGTGTTCAGTCTCTCCTGAGCTCTGTTCTACTGAGGCTCAAACTTTTCTCTGAGATGAGAAGCTGTTCTGCAGCAAACGTTTCACTGAGGCACCGAATCGTAGCTTCTTCTCAGGAATGTGTGATTTAGTCCCAGTGTCGTCGCTGTGCTGCGCTGGTCAGCACTGGTCAGCACTGACGGACGGTGACAGCTCTGTTTACTCACACTTTTAAACAAAGGCTCTGTGTTATGCTAACTGCTCTACCGCGTTATTAGCCAAATTCCACGAGATGATGAATAAGTCATGAGTCGACACAATCAGGGCCTTCATGTCTGATGTAAACACAGCCCTTCAGAATAATAATTATATTAATATAATAATCAGTCCACTGTGTTTGTCTTTTTAATGCTAAGTCACAGTCACTCTTATACACAGTGAAGTGTCAATAACATTCATTATTCATTTATTGGGAAATGAACAGATGCACATTCACCATAATCATAACTACGTTTTTATTATTATTGTCTGTTGTTTATCTAACAGTGTCTGATGAAAGTGTCATTTACCCTTCTCCCCCTTCTCCTCCCATCTATTTCTCTCTACCCACTTCTCTTTATCTCTCCTCTCCCTCTCTCTCTCTCGTCTCTCTCTCTCCCTCTCTCTCCCTCCCTCTGTCCCTCTCTCTCTCTCTCTCTCTCTACTCTCTCTCTCTCTCTCTCTCTCTCTCTCTCTGTCTTTCTCTCTCTCCCTCCCTCTGTCCCCTCTCCTCTCCCTCTATCTCTCTTTCTCTCTCTTCCCTCTCTATTTCTCTTTCTCCCTCTTTCTCTCCCTCCCTTTACCCCTCTCTCTCTCTCTCTCTCTCTCTCTCTCTCTCTCTCTCTCTCTCTCTCTCTCTCTCTCTCTACACTCTCTCTCTACACTCTCTCTCTCTCTCTCTCTCTCTCTCCTCTCTCTCTCTCTCTCTCTCTCTCTCTACTCTCTTTCTCTCTCTCCCCTCTCTACCCTCTCTCACTCTCCCTCCCTCTCTCTCTCTCTCTCAGCGTGGAGTTTACTGTAGGCGATCGGCCCGTGAACAGTTTCCGGATGATTGAGAGGCATTACTTTAAGGACCGCCTCCTGAAGAACTTCGACTTTGATTTCGGGTTCTGCATCCCGAACAGTCGCAACACGTGTGAGCACATCTACGAGTTTCCCCAGCTACCAGATGACCTCAGTAAGTGCAGGTTTAGTCTTAGAGACAACCAGCCGGTTCTGAAGTTCTTAGAATGCAAACACGGCATACATGACATGTTTGTCATCGGAGATTCCAGCCAGCGAGGGTGACGTCACGAAGGCGTGTTGCATGCACTGTTTTAAGTCCAGCATGCATCACGTTAAGTCAGCGCTGCGCAGGGCCGTATTAAGTCGACCACAACCATAATTATTATCACAGTCTTATCAGTTACTCTCTCGCTGGCTGGCTTTTCCCTGCGCAGTTTTTATTAGTTTGAAAAAAAAAAGTTTGTTTATCAGGCTAAGTGGTGACTAGTTTCCAGTGATTAATGCAATAATGAGCCTTTCAGAGCGAGATGGCGAGGGAGCCAGCCCTGTGACAGGAAGGACACTGGTTCGATCCCCTGAGCCGACAGTTCATGACTGAAATGCACTGCACAGATGAGTTAAATGCGATGGTGAAATTTCCCCGTTGTGGCACTAATAAGGCTCACTTAATCTAACTTAATCTTAATCTAACTTTTGGTGGCCACTGAGCTAGTAGTGGGCAATATAGCAAAAATATCAAAAACTTTGAGTACAAATAATTTTTATTTAACATTTTACACACTGCGGAGTGTCCTTGATGATGTAGTTGAATATTATAGATATTTATAATATGTATATTTAAAACTACTTTTTACATATAATCATGCAGCACTTAACACAGAAGTACACAGACAGATGTGCAAACCACAATCAGAACACTCTGCATAAATGTGATGCAACGTTAAATTAATCAGCAGCTTTCAGGAAGTTGTGTAATAACTGATAACGTATCTGTATCTGTATCTGTGCTGATGTTCCTGAAACCTGGGTGTTATAGCAGCTCATATAGAAACGTTGCCAGACGCTTTTTTAGTGTCATACAATATTGCTGTACATCCAAAAAATGCATGTACAGTGTAAATATAGTATGGCAGTGTAATGTATTATATGACCATGTTGATTAAATCTTAGTTTTGTTAGCTGTCAGACGGTAGGTGACGAGAAGTTTAAGAGGGGGGAAATAAGAATTTTGATTCTTTTAAGATGATTTATGAAATGATTAGATGCATCATGAAATCTCAAATTTCAACAAAATTTGATTGATTTGGTGTAGGGTTGTGTAATGTTTACCTAACTGGCATACTGTGGTGGACCAAGTACACAAACCATGTACTAAAGGAGTGACACCCAAGGTAAAATATTACTCCAGTAAAAGTAGAAGTTCCTCCCTTTAGACCTCCACTTGAGTAAAAGTACAAAAGTATTTGCCTTCAAATGTACTTAAGTATCAAAAGTAAAAGTACTAAAAGATTAATTATGGCTCTGATGTTCTAGTAGAATTTTTGTAACCAGACTCGCTTCATTAACTCATTTTAGGTGAAAATACTCCAGTGTCTCTCTTGGTAAACCAGTCTTTTAATAGAGTCATTAATTAGTGACGCTGATGTCTATTAAAATGATCATAAGCACAAAACACTGAAGGCAAACAGTTTCCATCAGGTAGAACTGAGTGGCTCTGAAATCACTTTTTTACAAACAAGCAAAGTTTCAGTTTAAGATCTATTTGAACTTAGTTACAAATTTAAGTTTAATAAAAACTTTAAACTCAGATTCACAAATGAGTTTCCTTTACTAAACTGCATCTGTAGGTCTCTGTTCATAAACATAAACTAGACAAAACTAATTTACTATTAAATTAAAATAGTGTTTGTATAAATTCAGAAAAAAGACACGTCAGTCACAACTGCATATGAGTACATATTTCTATATTGTGGTCTATTTACACAAAGTTAGGTTAGTTCATCATTTATGTTGAATAGACTCTCCCAAAATTTTACGCTGCTGCACTGACGTTGAACCGTGTGCTGCGCTGGGTCGGTATGACCAACAGGTCAAAACAAGCTCAAAACAAAGTGACCGCTGTGCCCTGATTGGTGTTCTGGCTTTGCACTTCTTTTGTTTTGACATGTTACGTTTTTGTACACACAGAAGCCAAAAGGAACGACAGATTTCTCATAATGTAGTGGAGTGAAAAGTGAGTTATTAGACTTTGAAATGTAGTGGAGTGAAAGTAAAAAGTCACCAAAAAATGGAAAAACGTCAGTAAAGTACAGATACACGAAAAAACTACTTAAGTACAGAAACGAATTACATTTACTTCATTACTTTCCACCACTTGTGGCATATGACGATGTGTGCTGCGAAATATCGCGATGAATGATGACAGGTCAGTCAGTATCCTTCTTATTTTTTATGACCACTGTGTTTCTCAATCATGACTAAAATATTCGGTTAGGGAATGGAAATATCTTTTGGTACTGTTTTTAGCGAAGTCAAAGAAAGCGTGCTCATTTTTAAGCTTGTGTTTTGTCCTATTTATTGTCTCTGAGGTGTTTCTGGGACAACGTGTCGTTTGTAGCTGTCAGTACAGCCGAGAAAAGATGAAACTTATGGCAAGAGCAGCAATGCTACGAGCATAAACAGCACAGAGCTTCAGCAGACCTGAGAGTGTGGCTTCGTTATGACTTCATTAGCTTTTTCACACAAATTCTCTTTATAACTGGAGGTATTTGGCCAGATGGGTAGCAGAAAGCTAGCTGGCTAACAGGCTAATGCTACAATAATAAAAGCCTTCAAGATTTAAGTCTTTAAATAAAGCTTTACTTAAAAACTGAGACATATAAAGGAAAAAATGTAATGAGCTAAAATGTCCATATTTAAACTTCAGGTACCCCAAATATAGACCACTGTAGTCATGCGTCATTCTGTTGTCCTTGTTATGCCCATATTAGGAACTCTGGGTCTGAGCTCCATTTCTCTATGGCCAGAATGAATACGGTTTTCGAAATGTTCACAGGACAAAACGTATCGGCTTCTGAACATTTTTATTGAACACAGGGGGCGATACGGTTTTTTGAAGGAACTTTGAACACTTTTTCAAAAAGAGCCGCAGCAAATGAGCCTCATATTTCAAAAGACTGTAATTAACACAATATAGACATGAAACACAGCAAGTTTATCACAGTAAATAATCAGGAGAGAAACTAAAGCAGCTACCTGAGTCTCACAGCACCGACTTCTATCAGAGCAAATTTGGTAGTTCAGTAAAATTGAACCCTTTACTCTTATTCCCCAGGGTATATTTTGTTTTTTCCTTCTGAATTTACATGACCAAATCGTAAGGCAAATTATTCAGTAACTGCATGAAATAAATGTAAAATTTTATTTATTTATTTATTTATTTTTTGTAAAAGCTCCCCTCAAATGAACAGAACATGTGTTTTATGATCACACATACTGTTCTATGCTTACAATTTACTCCTGAAAGCCAAAAATCTTAGACACTCTTTGTATTTTTTTATAAAAATAATTTGTACAGAGCAGATCACTGAAGAGACGCCATCTGTTTATAGTTTATAGCCCAGATTTGTGCAAAAATGGGTCGACTTTCAGTAGAAAAAAAATTGTGAGTTCAGCTTCTTTTATTATAACGGTTTAAAGTTACATCACCCATCTATTTGAGTGGAACGAAGACAGTTACAGCTCTCATACGACCCCCACCTTTAGAATGTAGCTTATGAAATATGAAAGTTATGAAGAATATGATGAAGTACGTTTTGGAACCACCGGTGGTCTCAAGGAGTTTAAAAGGTTAAGGCCGAACTAAAACGGCTATTTATGCTGTTTAATCTGCTTTTCTCATTTAATAGAGTGATTTCTGAATACGGCTGCTGTCTTTATCTGATCTGTAAAAACATCTAACAAAGATACACATGTATAGATCTTTTGTTTAGTTTGTCTCATAACTTTTTTTTTTTTTGAACAAGTAAACATTTGAATGATAATAATATACTTAGTATGTTATTCCAACAATAAAAGAAGCCTTGTGCGTCTTTTATACAGTGATAGAAAACGCGGTCGCACACAGAAAGCTCCGATTTTATGCACTGATATATAGAAAATATTTTGGATTATTTGTGAATAATATTTTGGCCCTCTGGTATTTTGACACGGTACAATCTGGCCCTCTCTGAAAAAAGTTTAGAGACCTCTGATGTAGATCAGTCCTCCTAAAACTAAAGGCTTTAAATTATTCAGCACAGTAAAAATCAACTTTGCCCAGCAGAAGTAAAATATTGGCCTGACCTTTGACTGACCCTCAGTCTGACCAAGCTTGGTTCAGATTCCAAGCCTCAGGTTACGCCGAGCTCGGCTGAGGAACGATCATATAAAGGCCTTGCTGCACAGTTTGGAATCAGTTTTCAATATTCATACTATTTTTTTATTGTTGTTGTTTTGTTTTATATAAAATAGTGTAGATTAAAAAATGTTATAAACCAGTTACCAAAAGGTTTTTATAGATTTTTTTTTTTTTATGTATTTTGGGAACAAGAAGAAATAAATCATGCTGTGTATTTATCTATTCATAGTAATTTCTTGTGAAGTTATCTGCTTTGAGATTTGATCACCACTTATTGAAATGTATGTAAATTTAATAATTAATACTGAGTCTCTGTTAAAGTAACAGGATTGACCTGTTTAGCTTGATGTATGGCTTATTTTACATTCTGCCATCTTCATCAGATCAACTGATGGCATTTCCTGTGAGTCATCCTAAATTTGTGACTGTGTGGATGTCATAAAAAGACAGACATGCTTACCATAACAGCGTTTGAGGACACAAAGGAATGATGCTATTTTATTAAATTCTGAAACATTTTTAAATTCAGTTTTTCATAGCAAAATATGGCCATTTAGTGAATTCAAAAGCAGTAATTAATTTAATTTAGAGAAATAATTGTATAAATCTTCTAGTGGAAGTTGGATAAATGGAACTGAGGGACAAATCAATCATCAACGTAACTATTTTTCTTAGTTTTGACTTTAAACAGTGAAAGATTTTCCCTTCATCCAGAGTGGGGCCCTCAGAGTTGATGTTGACTCAAAACACGACTTGGACTTCCCCTTAAATGACTCGCAACTTGACTCAGATTTGATACTTAAGACTCATGGAATTTCAGTGATTAAATTTGGACCGTTAATATTAAAATGACAGAATAATAATTAATAATGAATAATATGACACTTGTATTCCACCCTGACTTGCAACATAGGCTTGAGACTCAACTTAGACTCAGACCACAAAGGCTAGAGACTGGACTTGGAATCGCACTTCATAGATCCAACACACGCAACCTCTGAGATTCAAGACTTGACTTCCACTCACAACCCAGAGACACGACGCTCGATTTAGACTCACAACCCAGAGACTCGAGACTTGACTCGCACTCGCAACCTAGAGACTCGAGATCCAACTCAGACTCGCAATCCGGAGATTCGAGACTTACGTTAGTCTCGCAACCCAGAGACTCAAGACTTCCTCACAGTCACACCTCAGAGACTTTGAGATTCAACTGAGATTTACAACCCAGAGATTTGACTTGCACTTGCAACCTAGAGACTCGAGACCCAACTCAGACTCACAATCCAGAGATTTGAGACTCAGGCTGGACTCACAACCCAGAGACTCGAGACTCACCTCGAACTCGCAACTCAAAGACTCGAAACTCGCCTCGAACTCTCAACCCAGAGACTCGAGACTTGACTCACAGTCACACCTCAGAGACTCAGATTCAACTCAGACTTGCAACCCAGAGACTTGACTCACACTCACAACCGAGAGACTCGAGACCCAACTCAGACTCACAATCCAGAGATTTGAGACTCAAGTTAGTCTCGCAACACAGAGACTCGAGACTCGACTCGGACTCGCAACCTAGAGACTCAAGACTCAAGTTGGACTCTCACTCCGTAAACGTGAAACCTGTCTCTGACTCGCACTTGCAACCCAGAGACTTGAGACTCCCATTTAGCGACTTGATCATTTGAAAAAAGTTGTTTTTTAAAAATATGCATTTTAACTGTTAAAAGGCTTCCACATATAAAAAATGCAAACTGTCCTATTTTGTCAGAATGACCTTTATTCCGAATACTAAACTGTTTCCCTCCGCAGTTCGTCAGATGGTGGAGCACCCGTACGAGACGAGATCAGACAGCTTCTACTTTGTGGACAACAAACTCATCATGCACAACAAAGCAGACTACGCTTACAATGGAGGCCAATGATGCTGCTGGGGGAGTTCCGGATGTATGTGTGAATGTGTATGGTGTAACGATAGGACCACCCCTTCACTCCAAACACGTTATGTGTCTTCACCAGCCTCTCTCTCTGTCTCACACACTCCCCCTCTGTAACCGGACCAGCTGTTGCTTCAGCGTTTTATTCTGCACGCTGCCTCCACTGCCGAAAATTTGGCCAAAAAAGGGAACCACCCGCATCCTCTCCATGTGCGCTACTCAGTTCGAGGAATTATTTATACCTCACGCCCACCGCTGTGTGGGAACGACATTAGAAACCAACTTTCTAACAGGTCATCTCCTTCCATCCCACGTTTAGTTTGGCTTTAACAGTTCAGTCAGTGGACTTTTGCTGCTTTTTGTTGAGGGAGCAGAGGATCAACAGCTGAAATTAGCATCCATCTTTTCTTTATCTGATCAGATCTGTGTGGTTTCTCTTTAGAGAATTCCCCTGACTGGGCTCCACCCACAAATATGTTCTTTCATAGCTACTGTTGCTTGTTTGGACAAACTTTACAGAATGCTGGTAAAAAAATCCCATTCAGCCTAATGAGAAACTGTAGAACAGACTCAGTTTATATCACAATACCTACATTTAGAGTCAGTTATTCATTCAGCCTAATGAGAAACTGTAGAACAGACTCAGTTTATACCACAATACCTACATTTAGAGCCGGTTATTCATTCAACCTAATGAGAAACTGTAGAACAGACTCAGTTTATGTTACAATACCTACATTTAGAGTCAGTTATTCATTCAGCCTAATGAGAAACTGTAGAACAGACTCAGTTTATATCACAATACCTACATTTAGAGTCGGTTATTCATTCAACCTAATGAGAAACTGTAGAACAGACTCAGTTTATGTTACAATACCTACATTAAATGCAATTTTTACCAGTATTCTGTAAAGCTTATCCAACTTCACAACAGTAGTCATGATATAACACATTTGTGGACGGAGCCTGGACAGGTTATCTGTTTGGTGTGTCTAAAACTGAAGTGAACTCATTGCACGTGAATTGTGAATTTTTTTTTGCTCAGTCTTGAAGGAAACAGCTGGATTGTCTAAGCTCAGGTGTGTTTCGGTGAAAGTGAGGCTTGTTTGTGCGAATGGCTCCAAACGCAGGATAACGTAAATAGAGGGAGACGACAAAAAAGGGTCCACTTAACACAATCTCTCACGAGTTTATCATTAACCGTGTGAAAATAAAGGACTCTGTCTACACCACAGGTTTCCACACCTGCTCCGACTCCACTCGGCCAACGCTAACGTTAGCAAAACCATGCCGTTGGACTGTGGAGAGGCTGTAGAGATAAGGTTGCTTTTTTAAGGAATACTCCAGAGTTTTTCAGCCTAATCTCTGTCAGCGGAAGCAACTGCCTGTTGACTTCTATTATAAGTGTGGTCTGAGTCAGCAGGTTTTCTGCTCTGTATTAAGTATGGTGAAACATGTTGAAAGTATTGTCAGTGCTAATCGATCATACGATACAGCAGATAGATATTAGGTTTAAAAATGCTGGACTGTTTCTTTAATACCACAAATGAGCTCTCGATTTTATTGCTGTTGTAAGAAAATCATGTATTTCCAAAACACTAGATTTGTAAGAAGAAAACACTCTAACCTTTACATCTTTTGAAAGGCTTTGTTTTTAAAATGACTTTTTCAGTTTTATCGATCCATTCCTTCAACAATGTAAAGGGCAGCTGTTTTCAAATGGCTTTTAAAAAAGATTTTCTTAGGACAGCAACAGTTTGCTGCGTCATTTGCCAAAATACAAACTTCTGAGAATGAGAGTGCAAGCTAGCTAGCAAATGTTTCATAGTGCTAGCTAATTTTCCACAGTAGTAGATAGCTAGCTAGCCATATTTTTACAGTGCTAGCAAGTTAGCTATACACTAAAATGATGGTTCTTAAAGGCTGCTTTAGTATATATAGAACCATTTCATGCTTAAATTGTTCTTTCCATGGTGAAATGGTTCTTCAGATTCATGGAGAATGTGTTGTAAATGATTCTACATAGCACCAAAAAAGGGTCCTTCTATTGTATACAAAGTTGACATCTTAACAACAGCAGAACCTTTTTAGTGCTATACAGAACCATATACAACACATTCTCTGTCAAGCTGAAGCATTTCACCATGCAAAGAACCATACAAGTTACTAAAAACCCTTAAAGAACCATCTTTTTTAAGTGTATAGCTTTTTTTTCCACAGCACTAACTCGCTAGCTAATGTTTCACAGTGCTAGCTAATTTTCCACAGCAGTAGATAGCTAGCTAGCCATATTTTTACAGTGCTAGCAAGATAGCTACACACTAAAAAGATGGTTCTTAAAGGCTGCTTTAGCATATATAGAACCATTTTGTGCTTAAAGTGTTCTTTCCATGGTTAAATGGTTCTTCAGATTCATGGAGAATGAGCACCAAAAAGGGTCCTTCTGTTGTGTACAAGCTTCTCATCTTAACAGCAGCAGAACTCTTTTTAGTGCTATACAGAATCATATACAACACTTTCTCTGTCAAGCTGAAGCATTTCACCATTCAAAGAACCATTTAAGTTACTAAAAAACCCTTAAAGAACCATCTTTTTTAAGTGTGTAGCTGTTTTTTTCCACAGCGCTAACTCGCTAGCTAATGTTTAACTTGTTTTAGCATGTCTGCTGTTTCAGCCCCACAGTTTCATCTGATATTCATTTTTATTCCTATTTTCCTCCCCTCAGCGCTGTTGTATAGATTTGGTTATGAGGTTTAATGAAGGTTGTTGGAGGTTTCTGTGTCTTTGTTCTGGGTGTTGATCTCGGGGAGGCTGGGCTCCATCTGTGTTTGGCGTGTGTGAGTGCTCTCAGTGTCGGAAGCATCTGTGTTTCTTTGTTTTTCTTTTCCGTTAGTGTTGAGTTTGTGTCTAATGCAGAAGTTTAGGCTCTCAGAACTGCTGCTCAGAAGGTCAATATTATTAATGCTCATTTACTATACAAATAAAACTACTCAAAACTGTACTATACATACTAAACACCCTGTATGGTGCAAAAGGTGAAATCTTAGCCAGCGAAATCATCTTAAATCCAGTCAGTTTATCTAACATTTTTCTCATTTTGAGATTGCTCTGAGAATACTGTCAGATTATCCACCCTATTTCTAAACATTTGCACTTATTTTAAGCAATTATATGGACTGGTGGGCGATATGGCAAAACAAAATAATATTGCGATACTCCAGGAAATTTTGAGGAGACACGTCATAAATATCATGATATGTCATGATATTTATTTTTATGGACATCTGATCATTTGGAACAGACAAAGAAGGCCCAGGGGCGCTACATTTAAATAAAATACTGTCAAAAACTGAATACAATGATTTTTATTCAACATTTGGCAGTAAATCCAGTTAAACAGGACTAATTTTGCTCTCTTTATAGTGACATATGTAGTTGGTCAGTGTCTACAAGTACTCACGATATCCATGCTAGCATATCGATAACAATATAAATTGTCGTATTGCCCAGCCCTCATTAAATGTATTCCATTAGCAGATAGTTTTGCTAATTTTGGAAATGATCTGCCAGTGCAGTGAGATACTTTCACTACATAAAATTACTTAAAACAAGTAAAAGTGTCTTGAAACATTGTAAATAATCTCACTATGAGAAGAATTAGACTTGTAAACTTGATTTAAGATGATTTCAGTTAAAAAGTTAGCATAGTGGTGCACAGTGGTGACTTGCTATGGTCATTCCAATTTTCATTGTAATACAGACGACAGTGCTGAATGCATTGACCGTTCCATTCCGCTGTGTTTTAGTCTGAGCTTTTGTTTTGTTTTGGTTTTTTTTTACTGTTGGGTACTACCTATTTGCTTTTTTTTTTAAAGGAATAGCTTTGCTAACCATGCTAATAAGGCTAAGCCAGTAGCCATCGATTAGCATGGTGCTTTTTCACAATGCTGAGTGGTGGCTGTTCATTTTTATTTATTTTCGGCTTTTTTGACTAAACCATTCCTTTGGCATACCGCTTGGCCGATGCACGTTACTAAGTTATTCAATGTTTTAGTGAGGCAGAACCTGGAGCTGGAGATTTTTACTGATAAATCATTAATAAACGGTTATTAATAATTCCCTCTACCCTTCATTTCACACTCCTCAGACCCTCTCTTGCTCCGGAAAATTCGAAATCAAGGAAAAATCAGGGTGAGCCGAGAGATTTGTAGGAGATGGTAGAGCGAGTATTGCTGTGAACACTCTCTCTCTCTCTCTCTCTCTTTTTGTAACTGTAATGACTATTTTAAATGCTAAAACGCTTTTTGAAAACTGGGCCCAGATCAGTTTCTCAATTCTTCTGCTCCTGAAGTGTCCTTACAACGTACAGGGTGTGAAAATGCAGTGGGGTTTCACAGTAGAGCTGCACCATATGGACAAAATACATTATGATTTTTAATATTTCAGCACTGAGCCATGCTGCATTTTACCTTCAGTCAATAATGTGGGACGGCTAAAGACAGTCCTGCATCATTCTAACCGAAATGATGTCCCTTTGTTCAATTACACGAATATGCCGATTCATTAAAACGCCCACAAACTCATCTGGAGCTGTGATTGGTCAGGACGCTCACAGCACCCAGTAAAACGCACTGTGATTGGTTAGAGGCTCGTTTGCACATTGCAGCATTCTGTGATGCCATAACACTGCAAAAACGATATCTTGTCAAGTGAAACCATCTTAAATGTTGTCAATTTGTCTAATATTTCTAATATTATAAGATTATTCACCTTATTTCTCGGTATACTATAAAAGATGAAGACATTTTAACTAAAAAAGTATGTTTTTCTTGAATTTTTGAGTTCACTGACCTTCAAATGATATGTTAACAAATGTAAAACACAAATTATTGTTCTGTACTTAATATTAGAGCTCAAAATAAGAAACAGGTTTATTTACTTTTGTCATTTTTCCAGTCTAGTTTTTACTTTTAAGGTATTTTATCTGGAAAAATTCATATTTTACTGGCAGGTCCTTTGCTTGTTTCAGTATATAATGTAGATAACTGTGCTGCACTAGATAAAATTACTTACTTAATACATTTACTTACTTAATAATTACCATTACTAGATAAAATTACTTACCTTAGAAATTTACTTAAGTAATTTTATCTAGTAAAGGTAATTATTACTTCATACATTTATTTACTTAATTATTACCTTTACTAGATAAAATTACTTACCTAACAAACTTACTTAAAAATTCCCTTTACTAGATAAAGTTACTTGACAAATTTACTTACTTAAGTAATTTTATCTAGTAAAGGGAATTATTACTTGATACATTTACTTACTTAATAATAACCTTTTACAATATAAAATTACTTACCTGACAAATTTACGCAATATATACTAAGGGTAATTCTTACTTGATAACATTTACTTACTTAAACATTACTTTTACTAGATAAAAATACATGCTTGATAAATTTTACTTAATACCTTTTCACTAGATAAAATTTCTTAAGACTAACTTAAAACAAGTCTAGAAACAGGTTAAATAAT